CCTCCCACCCCGGCGACCGTGCCACCGTCCCCACTGCCCACCCCGGCAAACACGCCGTTGTCCCCACCTCCCTCCTCCAATAGCACACGCCGCCGCCCAAACCATCCTCCCCAGCATAACAAGTTGCCACCATCGCGTTCCTCCTCCAGCAGCATGCGCAGCGCGAGATGCACCCCCATCCAGCACGAGTCGCCGCCTCCCCACTGTTGCCTGGGACCAGGGACCAGGCGACCGGTTTCTACCTCGAGCACCAGCCGACCGTTCAACTACACTGTCTGGTGTCATTCAGTAAACTCACCTGCCGCTGTCCTACTCCTCTTCCTCCTCGATGCAGCAATGAGAATGGCAGCGTCTGACCATCTCCGCCAGATCGACTGCGACCAGGCGGCCACAGCCCCATGAGCCAGCGGTCTAAATGATTCAGCAAAGGATAGCTACATAGTGGGCCAAAGTACATTTGGTGTCCCCTTGAAGCATACAGGGCACCTGTATTTAGTTTCTTCGTCGAATCGCTGTTGGATCATAGTGTTGTGCCTCTGAACGTTGGTGATTATGTGTCGGTAGAATTCAGAGTGAACACAAGTTAGCATAAGGTTCCATTCCATGCTTGCAGCTTCTGAGTACTGAATTAAGTTTCTGAATAATGTTGTCACTTTTGATCGGGGGTGCAAGATGATTGCTTTAGCAGAAATTCAGATGAATCAAAGCACCTTCCTAGTCGTAATTTTAGTTTTCGATGGCTACCGCTAGTCGCAGGTTCTTTTAGGCAACAACTACAACAAAGTTCTTTAGGGTAGTAGTAGTGACGCATCAGGCTATGAATGGTTAGCACAGGCAGAGCGATACCTCAAAATGAAATGGTGTTGTTGCTTTCTGACTGGTTCCAAGGTGACTGTTTGTGTTCCCTACAAAAAAATGTGACTCTTTGTGGCTGAAATTCTGAATGAACATGAGTAAGCAGTAGATTCCATCCTTTCTATGATGGTTGTTTATAAATACTGAATTTTAGACTCTTCAGACATAACATTTGTAGCGATTCGGTGGTCTTGTTATTTACTTTATACTAGCACTGAGAAGAATATATCTCAGCCTGCATTTTCATGAATTTATTGTGTTCCATGAAACACACGGAGTGTTGAAGTCTTTCCTATCACTCTCCCCTCTAAACGTTGTTGTTGTAAAATTCTGCTGGAGTGTACATTGGTTTTGCTATCATACTCACCCTTTGAACCCTGTCCTCATTAGTTGGTTTCACTGAACAAAACTTAATCTTAGCTTCTCGATCTGCTTTTGTAGCTTTTCATGTTTATGAGAAAGTAAAAGATAACCCCGTCAAGAAAAAGGGAAAACAGTATAGTGAAAATACTACAAGGTTTGGTCAGGAACACCAACACAAGTTCAAAAGGGAAAAAATTAGAAGTTCGGATAGAACAAGAACACAAGTTCATGTAGAGTGCAAGTTCTTTTTGAAGTGCACACTCTGATTCCATTCTTCCCATCCACCAAATTTTCTCATAAATTTGTGTTCTGTATATAATCCAATAAATTTTATTGTGAGCAGAAAACAAGAAAAAACAATAAAACCAGGAATTCCATATTAAAAAGATGGAGAAGTTCGATGATTATAGAAAACTCAGATTTTCCTCGTTATTAAAGAATGGAAACAAGAAGTTCAAAAATAAAATAACAAGAAGTTCAACTTTTTAAAATAGATCGCTTCAGAATTCATAAAAAAGGATTAAGAAATTCAGATTAATATTCATAAAAAATTCAGATATTTTCATGTAACCGATAGAAATTCAGGTTGATAACTGCCAAAAGTTCACGTACTACACGGTGTGCATTTGGTGTGAATTTTTTTTAATGAAAAAGCAAAGGCTAAAGGTTTTGTTGTTAGAAGTTCAAGTGCTCGGCCCGATAAAGTTCAACAATTCTTGTGAGAGAGGTTGAACAAAAATACGTGACAGAAGTTCAAGGTGAAAACAATGGGAAATTCAACTACTACACGGAAAGCGTTTCAGATAACAATATAAGAATAGAAAACTAAAAGCTTAAAAGGTTTGTTTCAAGAAGTTCACGTTCTTTGTCCGGAGAAGTTCAAAAATTCTTGTGAGATATGTTCACCTTGTATTTCCATGTTCGAAAACAAAAAAATTTGTTTTTTGCATTTTAAAATAATTCTCTCAATCCACAAAGAAGTTTAGTTATTATTTGGGAGCAATTTGATTTCAAAAAGGAAATAAAAAATTCAAATTATAAAGATTAAGAAAATAAAGCCAGGAAGTCCATATTAAAAAGATGGAGAAGTTCGATGATTATAGAAAACTCAAATTTCCTCGTTATTAAAGAGTGGAAACAAGAAGTTCAAACAAAATAACAAGAAGGTCAACTTTTAAAAATAGAGAGCTTCAAAATTCGTAAAAAGATTAATAAATAAAACCAGGAAGTCCATATTAAAAAGATTGAGAAGTTCGATGATTATAGAAAACTCAGATTTTCCTCATTATTCATGAATGAAAACAAGAAGTTCAAAAATAAAATAGCAAGAAGTTCAACTTTTGAATATAGAGTGCTTCAAAATTCATAAAAAGGATTAAAAATCAGATTAAAATTCAAAAAAAAACTCAGATATTTTCACGTAACCGAGAGAAGTTCAGATTGATAACTGCCAGAAGTTCACGAACTACATGGTGTGCATTTTGTATTAAAAATAATAAAAAAAGCAAAGACTAAAAGTCTGTTGATATAAGTTCAAGTCCTCCGTCCGAGAAAGTTAAAAAAATTATTGTGAGAGAGGTTTATACAAAAGAAATACCATTGGTGTAACACTTGGCGAATGGACGAGAAAATTACAAATGAAAAATACGTCATAGAAGTTCAACGTGAAAACAACAGGAAGTTCACCTACTACACTGAATGAATATCAGATGAAAAACTTTTAAAATCGTCGTGAGTATAAAAAATGATCAATACGGGAAAGTTGTGTGTTTACAACAGCTTTCCATTGGTATATCACTTGCTCAATTTCGGTGAGTGGATGGAGAGCTACGAGCAGTGGATGGAGATCTACGAGCAAAAAAAACACACATGCAAAACAGAGTGAAGTTCAAGTAGACATGCCGAGAAGTTCACGTTCTTCACGCGGTGCATTTTCGAAGAATCTGTTTCGCGATAAAGGCAGAAGGAATGATTTTGCTGTTTTTGAAATTACTTTAAAACGGCTAAGAATCAGAGAAAACCATCAACATGAAAAAGTTTCGCATTTTCCATAGCTTTTCAGCGGTATATTATTTGCCCCATTCCGATAAAGTTTGTAGAAATTACCACAAAAATACAATTTTAGCCATTTTCAAAACTGTCATAAAACCGTAATGAATTAGGAGAAGCAATATATACAAAAAGTTTCGCATTTCTTCAAGCTTTCCAACGCCATATCATTTGTTGCATTTGGACGTACGGTTAAAAAATTAGCTCGAAAATATGAACTGGGTGGAACTTGTATCGTTTTCTAGATTACTTTAAACCATTCAAAATTAGAAAAACCTTTTAACATGAAAAAGTAGCACATTTTCATAAGCTTTCCAACGCCATATTATTTTCCTCAATTGGATTAGCCGTTTAGAAATGGCATCGAAAATACGAACTCGGGTGTTCCGTTTGTGAAATTCTACGATTTTCCGAATTACTCTTTAACCGTAGGGAATTAGAGAAAACTTTCAACATGTGAAAGGAGCGGTTTTGCAGCAGCTTTCCAATGCCATATTATTTGCCTCATTCCGATAAACGGTTTAAAAATGCAATCGAAAATATGATTCACGTTTTTTGTACGAAGAAAAAACGGTTTCAAAACTGCTCTTAAACCGCTTACATTTTGCGAAAAATTTAACTTGGGTCATGATACTGGTGTCCATAGCTTTCCAACGGTATATAGGAAGCCCCATTTGGACACCTTTTAGCTGAAGTTCAACCTAGCACACGGGGAAGGTCGGGCGCGTTACTCGGGAAGTTCATGTTGTGATCAGAATATTATTCTGATCCCGTGATCAGAATAGTGTTTGTATATAGTGTTACTATTCATCACTCAGGGTGCAGAATAAGTTATTCTTCATTCGAGGTAATTTTACGATCATTTCATAATTAAATTACGTTTTGAATTCAAATAGTTACATTCATATTGATTCACTACGTAAAATTTGACATAAAAAATAAAAATATAGGTCATAAGACAAGAAAATTTGCAGTTTATGTGTATTTTAGACTATGTTTTTACGTTTATAATTTTGCATAGCATAAAATATTTTTTACGGTGATTATATATTTTCTTACGGCCCCTTTTTGCGTCGGAAATAAGACAAAACATACGGAACATAAAATTACAATGGTAAAATAGAAGGGGGGGGGGGTGAAGAATAACTATTACTGACCCAGGGTGACGAATATCAGCCGGTCTATTTTGCTAACATTAGTAGAATAGTTATTCTGATAACACTTCCGCACTGCACTTTCTATAGCAAGAGCACTGCAATACACACTAGTGAACTTCGTGTCGGAAAAACTACACATAGTGTTTTTCCGGTACTGTTTTCGCTCTAACTTTTTAACCGTTTATCGGAACGAGGCGTATAATATACCGTTGGAAAGCTATGGATTGGGCGCAACTTCGCCATGTTGAACACTTTTCGAGATTCCTCGCGGTTTAAGAGCAGTTTCAAAAACGATGCGGCAGATGACGAATGGCAGCGAGTGTATTTTCGTGATTTTTTCTAAACTGCTCATTAGAATAAAGCAAATGGTACGCTGTTGGAAAGATATCGGCGAGGCGCATCTTTTTCATATCTATTATTTTCTCTAATTCGTTACGGTTTAAAAGCAGTTTCAAATTTACTAAATCACGGAATTACATTTGTTTTTGAAATTTTTGCAATTTTCGGTACTGTTTTCGCTCTAGTTTTTGAACTGTTTGTCAAAACAAGACACGTAATACGTCGTTGAAAAGCTATGGACAAGGCGCAACTTTCATATGTAGAAATGGTTTTGAGATTCCTTACGGTTTTTAGTTAATTTTGAAAATCGTTCGGCTGACTACGAGAGGCAGCGGCCGTTTTTTGAGAAATTTTTACAAACTGCTGGTCGAAATGATTCAAATTGTACGCCGTTGGAAAGATATTGTCGAGACGCA